ATATATTCATTTGAATAACTATAATTTATCAAGCTTAGTAACTAAGCGTTATTTGGGTCTAAAAAATATGAAATTTCGAGCAGACTAAAGACACAACCTACCTCATTGAAATCTTGGTTCAAAAGAAAGAAATGGCAGAAAGGCTGAGAAAACCACTCGGGGGACATTATGAGCTTCCAATTGGTTATTCATGTTATGTATAGAAGTGAGTATATATAAGGGAGCATTTCCAAAAATGGAAAGAGGTGGGTAGAGTGCCACTGTGTTTGATATATTATGTGAGCAATATCTTAGCAAATAGAAAAGATAAGACATTATTTTATATTCTAGCTTGTCAATATCTGTAATTTGTGTTTCTAATTTGTATGTAACTATAGGCTTAGTATTTTGACTTAAAAAAACGTCTAATTTGAACTAATACTGCAATCAACATACAACATGACACACAAAAATCGATGTTTATTTGTGTCTTTTTAATATTTACTTTTAAATTAAGAAATTGAATAATGTATAGTTCTAAAATTTGAATTATAATTTACAGTTTAATACCAAACTTATTGACATAAATTCATGAAATAGTAGTTCAATAAAATTTTGAATGCGAGTCAAAAAACAAGATGACATGGCTTTCACCTGTGACCCATCTCAAAAGGGTTAATGAGGCCAACAATTAATTGATTTATCAATTCTGCTAACAATTAGCTAATTTTCTGATGCACCACTAACTTATGAAGTTATCCTATAGAGACATAAAACCAGATGTGTAAAAGTCAAACAAAATGTCCTGGATTCTGACGCTATTAAAATTAATTATTTTCATAACACACAGGTGTATAATAACAGAATAAACTTTTCAGTGCATTTTAAAATTCTCAATATATTAAGTTCAGTTCAAGCAGGTCACTACATTCTGTAATCTGGCTCGGTATCATAGATGCTTGGACACCAGTCACTTTCAATGGCTTTCCTCTATATAGTACCTTATAATTTAGGGTAGATATGCTACTTGGAGATATGATATATATCAAGTTGAAGTTTAACTAAAAATGTTTTGAAATATTACATATGTATCTACAAACTGTTAAAAATTGAACAACTTAGTTTGCCATTGATGCATTTTCAAATTGAATTTATATTTTCAGGTTACACAGTAACTTTTTTGATAGCCACCTACTCTTTATCTTTGTAGACATATTAACAACATGCCTTATATTTAATTGTACTCTGTTTGTTATAGTGTTCTGGTCCATCCATGGAGCCTACAATATTTTCCAATGACATTATCCTAACGGAGCATGTTACAGTTCTGCGGCAAAAGATTAAAAAGTAGGTTTATCAGTTGTCATAAAGCACTAGTGGATGTAGCTAGACTGTTCTAGGTTCAATATGTTTATCTGTGAAACAGTAGTGAGTATGCTGAAGTGTAATAATTTTATTTCTAAAGCCAAAGTGGATTTCTTTATAATGTTGTAGGTTTGGTAAATTTATCTGTAAAACAGTGGTGAGTTTCCTGAAGTATTATAGATTTATTTGCAAAACATGAGGGTGTTCTAGGTTTATAAAGGTATGGTATTTAGGTATGGTATATAAAGTTCCCAAGTATACTTAACACTGTACCTACAACATCAGAAACATCTCAGTCATGAGGAAAAGGTATGAGCCACAATTACAGGTTCCTGTGAGCAGGACAAAAAAGATTGCGTCACCAACATTCAAGGGTGTAAAGAAGAGGATTTGACCTGTTTTCAAGCATTTCAGATACGTATTTGCTTGGAACAGCTAGTCTCCAGAGCAGGCTGTACATTGCATGATCTTGAGTGTAGATGGTCTAGCCTTAGACTCCATTGAGCACTCAAGTGTGGGACAACTTTGTGCCTTTGAAACATTTGGTGTGAAGTTTTTGTAAAAGTTTGACTTGATGGAAAATTAAGAAATCCATCAGGCAGAGTACAAAGCTTGAAAGTGAGATACTGCAGAGACATTGGCTGCCTATGTGGATGATATACACTGTTTGCATGGTAAAGCTTATTCTGCAATGGCTTTGGTGAATTGTGAGGATAACTTTGTTAACAAAGGCTACCTAGTGAAACAATGAGGCACTACCTGAACATGAGAAATCTCGTATTTACTGAAGCAGCTTCTGTAGTTATGCAGGGCTAAGTGGTAACTTCAAACCAGTTGCCAGGTAGGAAAAAGCCTGCAGCTTTACCTTGGGCAAACTATCATACCCATGTCAAGGTAAACTTGAGTCATCCGAGGATTAACCAACTAGCCACAACTTCCAGTATTGAGATGTAACTGCAGGTATCCAGTAAATGGGCAGGGCTATCCCAGTCCTCCCGTGGTCTACGTGCTGCAGCTTATGATGATGATGCCTCCACTCAGACATCAACCTGGAAAAGATGAGTGAAACATTTGATTTGCCTGTAGGATAGTGGGAAACTTTCAAGTGAGGTGCCCATATGTTGGCAAGCAGTAAGACAGACAAAGCTAATGGTTTCAACCAACATCTCAACAGGTATATGAGAGCCTACAACAGTGATAAACACTGTCTCAGTTTCACATCATATTATTGACCTTTAGTGAGCAACTTCTACAAGCTAGCCACACTATTATCAGCTCTAACTGATGTCATAAGTGTTATTACATTTGCAGGATGGAGTAGAACATGTAGTTGTATATGCTACTCACCTACTTGCAGCTTCAAAATGTAGATACTGCATGATAAAAAAAGAACTGCTTGCAGTTGTAACCATCATAAAAACTATCACAATTACTTGTACGGCAGAAAGTTTGCTATTCAAGTGGATCATAAGTTACAGAAATGCTTGTTGAACTTTAAAAATCTGGGGTGGGTGATAGCATGCGAGATAACAGTGTTTCCAGAGTATGATGTAGCATGATTCAGGTCCATAACATGAAAATGCTGATAGATTATCTCACCATAAGGGAGACTTTGTCTTTTTATTGGATGTCCACGCCCTGGACACTGTGTGAGAGTTGAAACCAATTCTGCCATACCAATGACAAAACATACAGTAGAAGAATTTGCTAATGGTTAGATGCCACGATTAACGCTTTGGATGCTCCAGGAAGAGCATCTGTAAGATCCGTGGGAGATTCTTGCCTTGCAATAAGTTAAAGCTTGAAAAACTCAGATGAGCAGTTTTGAATGCAGAAAGGTATGCTATACCATTTTTATCCACCACTGAACTGTGTTACAGCTAATGGTCCCCAGTTTAGAGGCAAGAGATTCTCCAGACTTTGCATAACACAAAGATTGGAGGGTAACCAGGTTTTACTTTCCATTTTGCTAACATTCATCAATGATTCTGTTGGCTAAATTTGAGTTGAGACGTTCAGTGCAGGTAGCAACACTGTGTGGTGAGTGTACCACCTAGAGAAAGAGTCTAAGTAGTGTTTTCCAATATAGAGATGGTCCTTAGATGTTGCTGATCCATTTCCAGAAACAGAAAGAGATAATCTGATGATAAATATGGTCATAATTACTTTATGAAGAGGACCAAAGCTTTTCCTTTGGTTGATATATTATGTGGTCAATGTTTAAATAAAGCACTAGATATCCCAGTTCAGAATAGCTGAGGAGATTCACATGGATCAGAGAACTAACTTTAACCCACTGACTGCTAATTCACCTTATGGTCCCCCTTCAGCAATTGAATGCAAGTGTGCCATATATGGTGTATAGCTTGCAAAAATTCAGCATGCATTTATAGCAGGTACTGTCAATGGATTAACAGCCAACTGTTCTTTGAAGTATGTTGGATGTAGCAAAAATAACATTTTGCCTTATCTTATCACCCTTAGTCTTATGGTTTAGTAGACTGGGTAATAAAGACTGTCAAATGTATGCTTGCTAACATTTACCATAATTGCAACTGAACAGAAATCAACAGGGTGTTTCATAGACATACTTGTTTGTTTGGGAATTCTTGATCCTTATAGATGTGATGTATGTCTTCTCCTAGTGTGGATATCCCACATTGTTGACACACACAAGTTCACATATCGAGAGCTAGGAAAAGTCACCATGTTGCAAAATAGGTGTTATGAGAAGACTGAAAGAATGAATGTACTAATGTGGAGACCAGGTGTGGCTTTGGTACATGCAAGAAACATGGAAGCTGCATGACTCTAGCTAGACAGGACCTCATCTTGTGCTCCAATGAGTTGGTCCATTAGCATATAAGATACAGCAATCAAGAGGTACACAGTACATGCCAACCACATCTGTATTTTACCAACAAACTTCTTGTGAAGTGGTTTGACCAGGAATAAGATGAGGCTGGTGAGTCAGAGAAGGGTAAGAGCACTGATTCATCCCACTTCAACCCAAAAGGTAAAGAGGAAAGAGCAAAGAGTTCAAAACAAGCCAAATGAGAAGCACTAAGTCTAGAGGGAACAAACAGCTGTTGGCAGTTGGTTTAATGATGGCCTCAAGATCGATATAGCAGTTACAGCAGGTAGGACAATCATGTGGCTGGAAGATTAATGACCGAAAATAAATTACATTCCTTCCTTTATGAGCTATTGGATGGTATTATAAAGTATACAATGCATTAACTACATGGTATATTTACTACTTGAGTACTTAACAATTAAGATCGTTTGTTGATCATAAGATTGGAGGGCTGAAAGGATTTTGCAGAGCTTTACTGTAAGAGCTATCTGTAGGATATCAGATGTTAGCTGCTCGATTCACAAAGTTTAAAATGGCTCGTGTCAGCAAATTTAATACATAGTACATCAACAATTTGCACAACTGAAAACGATAGCTAGGAATGTCAAAACTTAACTGAAAGAATGTTGAACCCTTGCTTTCCAAGGTATTGAATGATAATCTGTTGCAAAATGTCATCTGAAGTTTCACGAAAATCACTCACCGAAGTCTAGTTGAGTCATGAAAGTCTTAAGGAGAATACCATAAGGTCCTTACTAAATATTTCCTATACACCTGAAGAGTGTGTGACTTTTTCACCTGCAGTGAGGAGTTGTGTTTCTTCTGAGTGTATATTGCTATATACTATTGTAACAGCACAAACATTAATCTGGGCTTATGAGAATTTTAACTGAAAAGGTAATTGTCTTAACACACTGTCCCAAATAAATGTTTTAGAGAAGGGTATGGTTGTAACCACTCAGTTACAGCATTTTATAACCCACACATCTTGCTGACCTTCTGAACAATTGCAATTCCCCTGACCTCACATTTTAAATCTTAACTTAGTTTTACTATTTCAGATCAAATTTTCAACCCTTCTAGTTTTCTTGTTTTTTCAGCTACCTGGTAGTGTTTCCATTCACTCAATGTATGTGCTTAATCCTCTAAAATTCGAAAGCAGTATATCATAGGAGGTAAAGATGTGGAGGAAAGGTGACTACAATTTTGGCAATTTCAGACTAGGGACCTGACAGACTACAGGAAGTGTCTCACACTGATACAAAACTTATTGGAAATGGCTGTTTATCGAGCTCAACTTTTAAGGTCTGGGGAGTTGGTAGCAATCAAGAAAGTTTTACAATACAAGAGATTTATGAATAGAGAGCTGCAGAATTGACTCAATTGAATCAATGTAATATAGTCAGACTGAAGTGTGAAGAAAGGAAAGATGAAATATACATCAAATTGGTGATGCAATTTTATTCCTAAAATGTTGAACAGAATAGTAAGACATGCTAGAGCAAAACAGACTGTACCACTACTATTTATTCAATTGTGCAGAGTGATTATTAACATTATTTTGCAGTTCAGTGCATTATATCTCACAAACTTTATGGTATAGGAAGGTGAAAATGAATAGGGGTGTTAAGGGCATCATGCAGGTCCATATGCCACATTACCACTAGGGATGCCAATATGACCTGTATGAAAACTGCATCTCTCTGCTCTACTCCTCATCAACTGACGTCACCACCATGTGGACAAACATCAACACGTGCTTCTACCACAGCTTCCACTCGATGGTCTTATCATGGCTTTTTCGGAGGCTTCAGTCTGGCATCTTACGACGTCTTACTGTGTTTATCAACAAAACACTCACTGAATACAAACAAAATTAATCCCAGAGGTTTATTCCATTTTTGTTTGGCTTAAACATTTTTACCGCACCGTGTGAAAAGAAACAAAAGTTTCAAAACATCCCAGATTGTCTTTCAGGCCCGATACTCTCTTTGAGGCTTGCAAGATCTTAAACTTAAATTACTGCCACATGTTGGATTGGATGTGCTCTTAATTCAGTGTTTTTATACAAAACTGTAATAAGTTGGCTGAAGAGTTCTAGGTTCAGTGTTTGTGTAAAACTGTACTGAGTTGACTGAAGTATTCTAGGTTCACTGTTTCTATGTAAAACAGTACTGAGCTGGCTGTAGTGTTCTAGGTTCACTGTTTATCTGTAAAAGAGTAGTGGTGCTGGTTTATTAATTAATGATCTGTTTATCTATTTCAAATATTATTATATTTTTTAAACCTTTGACTTGTTAAAACCTTTATCAATACCAGGGGAGACATTGTAGTGTGTCGATCACCAACTAACCCAAGACAATACATATGCAAACGTGTGGCAGGTCTTCCTGGTGATAAGATTCAGAGGGGGATATTTTCTGAAGTAGTAAGTATACATACATGTAGTTTTTGTAACTTGTGTTAAAGATAATGAGTGTGTATGTGTATGTCTGAGGAAGTTTAAAGTATGCTTATGTATGCCTTAGAAAAACTTTTACAACTTTCATTACTATTTACAAGTTACATAAGTAATGTAAGTCATCAACCAAACAGCAGTAAACAGAAATACAGTAATGTAGTTATTCCTACAGTTAAAGAAAGTCACCTAACTAATGTTAATAGAATTAGAGGTAGTACTTATAAAGTTAATGTAGTCTTTTGGTTTGCAAGTACAGAATATTAGGTAGTACTTATAAAGTTAATGTATGCTATTTTGGTGAAATTTTGTTTTTTGCAGGCTGTCCCCAAAGGTAATGTGTGGCTTGAAGGTGACAACAAAACAAACTCAACAGATTCTCGAACCTATGGACCTGTACCATTAGGTTTGTTGCGTGGTAGAGCAATATGTAAAGTAAGTTTAACTCAAGATCATCTTTATTAAATGTGATCTGTTTTCCAATACACTTTTTCTGTATAACTAGAAAAAACTAAAATCATAAAAGAGCTTTGATACCAAACCACATGAAATACATCAAAAAAGGTTTAGTTTATAAACTGGTGATAAACCATGATCTTACTGTATTTTATGATATAAGTTTAAGTGTAATTTATTTGTAATATCAATAAATCAGGTTTCTGATAGCAAACATACTGATATTCTATGTAAGATGATGATGTGTATTGTTTCCATTTTAAAATTCAACACTTCAAGCTTTAGCTAATTCAAAATCTAATGTTTTGAAGTTATACAAGAAATTAAAAACTTCCACATGAAGTTTTAAACTGGTTTGCAAGCTTCACATTTTCCTTATTTTTCTAGGTCTGGCCTTACAGTGACTTCCACTTCTTCAGTGACAGATGACACATCCTGTTACCTGTTTGTATCTTCAGTGTTATGATAATTTTTTAAATGCTTATTTATTTTCAATTGTAAGTATCATAAAATTACAGTAACTGAATTATTGAATACACATCTGAATATTTTCTAACTGTCATGCATTTTTTCATTATGATCAAAGTTGCCAGAGCCAGTAAACTACACTAGTGTCTCTTGTACGCAAAGAAAGCCTCAATACTGAGTATTAATCTCACTATTACCTAATTGTACTTAATGTTACAATTATAAAGTATAATTTTCAAGAAAAAAGTAATACCTTATGGGAGCACAAAATAGAGTTGGTATAAAAGAAATAGGGTGATTTAGAAGTAATCAACAGGCAAGTAATTCAGAAATGGGAAGATATAGAACAATAGTTGGAATGGCGTATTGTGAATCTACTCTGTAACAATATAAATTTTGTTATTCAAGGTCATGTTCTTCAAAACTGTTATTAACATACATTATATACCAAAAATGTCAATTACATAGGTTTAGACAATAACAAATGAAAATTTTAAACCAACAATTATCAAAATCATTCCACAACAGTTACAGGGACAAATGTAAACATCATAACAGGATAATGAACTAGTGGCAAATGGTGAATACCTGTGTTCAAAGTCAGGACTAGATATAATAAATTCCAAAATAGCAGTTTTATTGTCAATTGTAGTTGTTCTTGGCCTGCCTTCATGGCATATGTACGTATTTTAAGCAAGTCTGTTGTATGCAGCCACTGACACCCATTTTTTCTCATCTGGAAACTGTTTGACATACAATCTCACATCTTAGTGACATACAGTAGGACCATGTGAAACTGCTCTATTAAATATTTTTTGAATGAATGTTGTTTCACAAGACATGAGAAATAAAACTTGGATATAAATAATAAAGAACAAATTGATACATCTAGATGAAAATATTTTATAGCTTTATTTTTTATGACATTTCAGGCAGACATCCTTCTTCAATCAGTACATTGTAATACAGTCTGTACTGCCTGATAAAGGGTGTCTGCCCAAAACATCACACAAAATAAAACTACAAAACGTTTTCCTTTAAACGTGTCCGTATATTTTTTATTATCTTTTATCCAGGTGTTCTATTAACATTTGCATGTTATGCTAGTTCTCTGAATAAAAATGTGCATTACATAGTAATGGCAACAAGTGAGAGACATATTTCCAAGCATAATGAGTTATATACTAGTATCCTTAGTATTATGTAAAAAATTGGATAACATCATTAAAGATAAGTTATCAATAACTTGAAAATCTGAAACAAGCATGCTGTATAAAGACAGTATCAAATGTTGTATCTTGGGGGATAAAAGAATATGAAACATACAAATAGCAGGAAAGCAACACAAAAACTGAAACAAGCATGCTGTATAAAGACAGTATCAAATGTTGTATCTTGGGGCATAAAAGAATATGAAACATACAAATAGCAGGAAAGCAACACAAATGTTTCACTAAATGAAAAAAGACAATTGCTTGTTTCATAAATATTTATTATTACTACGGTTTTACTCGTAGAACCATCATCAGATACATCTCTCTTATATAAGAAATCAGTACTAGTGATTGTACAAAGAGTTTCATATGGTTGAAAGCTTCCAGTTAATGAATGATAATGCTAAAAGTGCAATAGAAAAAGAATTTCATTAGGCAGTATCTTTTTTAAATCAATCAGGGGAAAACCATCTGCTGTTTGCATTCTGTGATGCCAATAAAATGTACATCTTTGCCTAAATCAGGCCCTTGAGACTTTGTCATTTATTGCTAGCCAAGTTGGTGGGTCATTAAGATTGACTTGTAATCTAAATATACATCACTTACAGTTTCTTCAGTAATATAGCAAAACATGAACGTAATAATATGAAGCATTTATTGAATGTTTTGGAATCTTCAAAATTCCATCTTCAGTAATCTGGAGGTACAAAAGAAACACAATGGTAATTACAACAGAAATATGATATAATTTCTAATACATAATAAGTGAACAATTTGAATATAAAAAGTAGAACAAGAGAAAATGAAAAATATGTAGCACAAATGAAATAGTTGAATTAAAATGGATTTAAATCAAATGAAGAATGTGTATTATTTAGGGCTAGAAGAAGAATTTTTATGTATAACATCTCTCTTTTATTTGAAGTTCAGTATCATATTTGGCTGTTGAGAGAATTTTAAAGTTGGAGAGAGAAATTGGATGCCATGTTTCTGTATTGTGCTGGTAGATGGCAGAGTTGGGAGGGTTTGTAACTTCCAGTTTTTATGGATATGCGCATATGTTCAAATGCTCGAATTTTAAGGTGATGTTTGGTTTCACCGATATAGAAGGCCCTACAGTCTCTGCACATGTATAAATAGACGAGATGTGAACAATGGGCAGTCAGCACACGATATTTGTAGAGGAAAAATTTTTAGTCTGAAATTAGGTTTAAAAATAACTTTCAGGTCAATTTTAAGATAGTAAGAGTTACATAATTTTTTCAACCCTTTTGTGATAAGTGAGTTCTCTCCTTGAAGATATGGTAAGCAGGTGTACAAAAGGTAGTTTGGGCACAGTAGGTATCTTAGGTGGCTTGACAAACACATTATTAAGAATGAGTAAGTTATTTACTCCAAGAAGTGTTTAGAAAGCTTTTTCGAAAAAGCTGCTTTGTATGAAAGACATTTCCTTGTGAAGGGCCAGATAAGAAGAGGTAAGGTTTTAGGCCCTATTTAGTAGGCAGAATATTAGATTATGTTTGAAAGAAAGTAGTAAAGATGTCAAACTAAGTGAAAAGACCAATAAATGGGTTTTTACAATAGAAATTGTAAATCCATTAGCATTATGATTAATCACAAATCCAGTTCTGTTAATGGTGACAGCAGAAAATCTTGATAAGCATTGGACCTAGAGGGGAGCCCATAGCAATGTCATCTATCTGCTCGCATAAAATATTAAAGAGGAGAAGAGAGTCTTTAGTTGAGAGTTCAAGCATAGATTTGAAATCAGATTTAGAAAGTCCACTGACAAAAATTTTTTTAGCAAAGAGTGTAATGTTAATAGTTTTGTTCAGGGAAATATTAGTAAAAGTAGAAGTAATATAGAAGATAACCATCACGTGATTTTTAAGGGGGGGAGTAGACCAATTTCTGGGAAAAATTGAAAGGAGTCGGGCATTGTAAATTCGTTCCTACTAAAAGGTTTTAAGATGGGTACAAGGAATTTAGCTAAGTTATAACTTTGAGTGCTAAAGGTAGAAAGTATAGGTTGAATTGAGGTGTCTGGTTTGTGAACTTTCATCAGGTTGGGGGGCCTGTAGAATGTAAATTGGTGTAAACACAATCACAAATAATATTTCTTTTGCTTAAGTTTCTCAGGAATCTCGGAGTTCTTCCTTCATCTTGTAAAGTATGGGACAATGGTTCTTTGTTTATAAGTTTGAACTTGCTGCAATCATTAAAAATGTCAAGAGTTTCTTAACATAGTCAGCTTTGTTGAGGATAACCTATTTTTTCCAGAAATGTTTACCACCAAGTTAAAATCTTAGCACTCTCCACCTTCTATAACTAGAACACATACAGGATATCCTCAAATCTGAAACCTGAATAACTGGCAGTTGTTAAAGAACTATCCTGCAACAAAAATATTACCACCACCTGACAAAGGAAATGGAGTTGTTATCCTCAAAAAAGCTGACTATGTTAAAAAGTGCTTGACATTCTTAATGATCACAACAAGTTCAAACTTATAAACAATGAACCATTGTCCCATACTTTACAGCATGAAGGAAAAACTGGGAGATACCTGAGAAACCTAAGCAAAAGAAATATTATTTCTGATTGCATTTGCAACAACTTGTATCATACAGGCTCCCAACCTGGAGTATTATATGGTTTGTTGAAAGTTCACAAACCAGACATCCCACTCCAACCTATACTATACTCACAGTTATAACTTAGTGAAATTCCTTGTACCCATCTTAAAATCTTTTACTAGGAATGATTTAAAATGCCTAACCATGACCACTTTCAAATTAACCCAGAAATTAGACAACTCCCCCTCCCTAAAAAAATCACATGATGGCTATCGCCATGAACAGAACTGGATTCACAACTGTTCTTTAACACCCCTCTATGCACTTCACTCATGAAACTGAGACAAATAATACCATTTCTGGATGTTCTGGACAATCATGATGGTAATGGCGTTACAATCTCTGTCTATTGTAAAAACACATTTACTAGCCTTTTCACTTAGTTTGACACCTTTACTATTTTCTTTCAAACATAATCTAATATTCTGCCTACTAAATAGGGCCTAAAACCTTACCTCTTCTTATCTGGCCCTTCACAAGGAAATTTATTTCATACAAAGCAGTCTTTTTCAAAACGGCTACATAAAGCACTTCTTGGAGTAAATAACTTACTCATTCTTAATAATGTGTTTGTCAAGCCACCTAAGATACCTACTGTGCCCAAACTACCTTTTGTACACCTGTTTACCGTATCTTCAAGGAGAGAACTCACTTGTCACGAAAGGGTTGAAAAAATTCTGTAACTCTTACTATCCTAAAATTGACCTAAACGTTATTTCTAAACCTAATTTCATACTAAAAATGTTTTCCTCTACAAAGATCATGTGCAGACTGCCTGTTGGTCACATTTCGTCTATTTATACACATGCAAAGACTGTAGGGCCTCCTATATTCGTGAATTCTAATGTCACCTTAAAATACAAGCATTGAACATGTGCTCATATCTATAAAAACTGGAAGAAAAGTTACAAACCCTCCCAACTCTGCCATCTACCAGCACAATACAGAAACAGGGCATCCAATTTCTCTCTCCAACGTTAAAATTTTCTCAAGAGCCAAACATGATACTGAACTGCTAATAAAAGAGATGTTATACATAAAAATTCTTCTTCTAGCCCTAAATAATACACATTCTTCATTTGATTTAAATCTATTTTAATTCAACTATTTCATTTGTGCTACATACTTTTCATTTTCCCTTTTTCTACTTTTTATATTCAAATTGTTCACTTATTATGTATTAGAAATTATATCATATTTCTGTTGTAATTACCATTGTGTTTCTTTTGTACCTCCAGATTACTGAAGATGGAGTTTTGAAGATTCTGAAACATTTAATAAATACTTCTTTTTAGATAGTTTATATAGAGCACATGTTAAGTTTAGCTATTGTTAGAAGTGGTAGCTTATTGCAAGTTTGTTTACTTAACTGTTCATGAATCATATGTTGTGCAGTTCAGTTTATAGATTGGTGATTGTTATATTATTGCATCATGTTACAAGAACCTTCCGAGTTTTCTCATGTTTTAATTGAGTATTATTGCATCATAATATCTCATAGTATGTGGAACATTTTGGCCTCTATCGGGCTATAAATACACATCCAAAAATTTAGTTTGAGATATAGTTAGATCTAGACTGCTTGATTGTGAATGTAGCCTTATAGATCATATAATGGTGATTTATCAAGTGTCATTATCATAGACTGT